AGAACAGGGAATGTCAGATCTGGGAGGGGCCTTAGAACAGGGAATGTTAGGGCTAGGAGGGAAGGGATGGCCTTAGATGGCTTAGTCTCATGGCCCAGTGAGGGGCCATATCTTGTCCGATTGCTCAGCCAGTGCCTGCGTGGCAGGGCAGGGAGAGCTCTTTCCACTGCCGGCTGCTTCTCGTCAGTCCTGCTCTGAAGTCCCCCACGCATCAGCAGTCTTCCCTCTTTAACATTTTTTTCTCAGAATCTATAGAACAGCATAGAGGACCCAGCAGAGCCCTTCCTGAACAGCCTCCAAGTGGACTAAGTTTCTCAATCTGAGAGACTTGTCAAGGGTCCATGGGGGGTTTGGAACCTGAGGGTAGTTCCAGGGTGAGGCGGCAAGCACCCTCGTTTCTTATTCTAGCACATGGGAAGCCTTATTCTTTTCCTTCCTTCATTCCTTCTCTCTCTGTCTGCCTTCCTTCCACAGGCTGCCGGGGAGAGGAGCAAGTCTGTGATTTTAGTAAAGAACCTCCCTGCAGGGACACGGGCCTCTGAGCTGCAGGAGATCTTCAGCCGCTACGGCAGCCTGGGCCGCGTACTGCTGCCCGAGGGAGGCATCACGGCCATCGTGGAATACCTGGAGCCTCTGGAAGCCAGGAGAGGCTTCACCAGCCTGGCCTATTCCAAGGTACACTCCTCACCAGGGAGTCTGGAGCAGTGAGCCGCCTTCTGCTTCTGAAGGAGCTCGGTGCACCAGGTCTGGACCTCGGTTCAGATCCTCCCTGGAGCTCTTAGTGTCTGAGTGACCTTGGGTGCTTCCCCTGTCTGGGCCTTCTTGTCCTCATGTGTAAGGAAGGGGTTGGACCAGACTGTCTCTGAAGGCCCTTCCGGCTCACGCAAAGCCCGGTTCCTTGCATCCTCCCAGGAACCCGCTGCTAATACCCTCATTTGACAGATGGGGAAGCTGAGACTCAGAGAGGAGGAGTAATTTGCCCAGGATCACGGAGCTAGTGGATGTTGGAGGAAAGATTTGAACCCGTGTCTTTCTTATTGCTAAGTCCATCAGTCTGTCCTGTGTCCGACACTGTACACCTCTGTGGTGCAGTGTGTGTAGTGGTGTATGTGTCATGCGCACACCAAGCAGAGCAGTCACCTTCCCCTGAACTGCTTTATAAGAGTTCAGAGCCTTCTCTGACACTTTTCACGGGTGTCATTAAAATTACTAATGACAGTCATGTCTTGGAAGACATGCGTGAGTCTCACAGTAGGACAGATCTTGAAAGAGAAGCTTCTCCCTTCTGCTGTCCCTCTGTGGGGGCGAGGCTCCTCGAATAACACCTTAGCACAATGCGTGGCACATAGTAGGGGCTCAGCATTTGTTGATTGATTTCCCTGTTCCTCCCTCTCTGGGAGACACTTCCCAGTTCTTCCTTCCCAATGTCTCTCTGTCTGTCCATCCTTACAGTTCCATGATGTTCCCTTGTATCTGGAATGGGCACCAATGGGGGTCTTCTCTGGCCACCTCCCTCAGACCAAAGAACAAGATGACAAACCTGGAGGAGAAGAGGCAGCTCAGACTGAGGCTGGTAAGAGTGGGAGCCTGAGGTCAGGGCGTCAGGCTGGGGCGGGGGTTTCCTCAGGGCTCCCCGAGATTCGGCTTCAGCGTAAAGCTTCGGTGTTCCTTGTTCAGCATCTGGCTTCTCTCTGCTCTTGGGGTAAGAAGAGAGAAAGCCATCCTGACGAGGTTTAGGGATTCCTCCCCATCCTCCCCTGGCCCTGTGATCTCCTCCGCACGTACGTTCCCTCCAAGAAGGAGGAAGAGGAGGAAGAGGGGGCAGATCCCAACCTGCCTGTGCCCGCCCATCCCGTGGGACTCCAGTCCTTGTGCTCCTCGGGCTCTCCCCAGGATTTCTTCCCAGTGGGTCGGCTCCTCTCTTGCTTTCTTCTGCCTCCCAGAGCTGCCCGTCAGTCAGTTATTCCCCCTCCTCACCTCATGACTGGCCGTCTTCTTTCCCACCATTCTTGGCTGACAAACTTCCTTCATTCTCTTCCCCGTTCCCTGCCTGTCAGGTGTAGCAGCCTCCTGTCAGTACAGGGGCTTCATTTGGCATATCTCAGCATTCAGCCCTTCCACTCGTGGCTACGGCATAGAGTTCCTAGTTTTCCAGGATCTCCCAGCCCTTCCCGACGCGCTCGCTGCCAGCCCTCCTTTCATCCCTTCTTTGCCTGGCTTTGTAAGTTGCTTTAGGCCAGAACCTTGATTGCCTGCTGGCCAGTTTTCTGGTTCTGAGTGTCTCAGCCCTTTGCGGGGCTGGTTTTGGGAGGAGAGACATGGAGCCCATTTCTGGGCCCGTCGGAGTTTGCTTAGATCCTTCAGGAGCTCCAGCACCCTCCTGAAAAAGCCCCGGCCAACCTCCAGGGTTCTGCCAGCCAAGCACGAGGGGGCACAGGTCCTTCTGAGTGCCAAGGGCTTTGAGTGCCAACTCAGCATTACCTGCCAGAACATCCTAGAGAGCTGTTGAACAGGTAAGGAAACTGAGGTCCTGAATGGAGAGAGAGCCTCGATTCAAACCCAAGCTCTCCTCTGGATCAGATCCTGCCTCTTCCCTTACCTCTGCTCCTCTGTTTCGCCATCTAGAGAGTGGAGAGAGGAGGAAATCCCAGCATCTGCTCTCAAACACAGTGGAGAGAACCCCCTGTAAGCATCAGAGCATTATGGAAATACTGGCTTTTGTTACACAGTCCCTTAGATGGCTCCCAAGCTCTTTTGTGTCGAAATCTGGTTTTTTTCCTATAGAAGTCAAAGATAAGAATTTCTCTCCTTCCTTTTCTCCCTTACAAAATGTAAGCACCCAAAGGTGACTCAATTTCCCCCAGATTGCTCCAGTAATAGTTTTCAGGGGTCCTACTCCCAATCCGGTGGTCTACCTGAGTTCCATCCTGAGTAGGATCTCATGTTTTGGATCATTATCCTTTGATTACATTTTTGGAGGGAAGGTGATAACAAAGACCTGGCTTAGTGTTAGGATTATTCAAAGACACTCCACCAAGTTTCTGCTGTCTTTAAGGGGCTGGGAGTTCTTAGCTGTATTTCTCTCCCAGGACAGCCACAGACTTGAATACTGTCCATTCCCATCAGGTCTTGGTCCCCAGATTCCTTCCTGTGTGAACGAGGGCGCTCTGGTATTCCCCAGAAGCCTGGATCCAAAGCTCAGGAGATTTCCTCTAGCTGCCTGCCTTCCTTACTCTGGCTGTCTGTGGCTGGACCAGAGCCCTCTTGGAAATCCAATTTGGACTGGGTCCCACCTGCCCGAGGGAGGAATGCTTGTTGACATAAATGCTTTTCAAACACACTAGCAGTCCAGGTGTTAAATCAGGCAGTAGCATTTCATTGAGATCAGAGCTACCATGATACCAACCCTCGGGCTGGGAGGCTAGATTAAATGACCTCGCAGATCCTTTCTTCAATTACTTCAGGGTGTTGAAGGCAACCAGGATTACTTTCTTCAGCCTAACCGTCTTTTTGGTGTTATTAACCCAACTAAGTTAGGTACCAGTGACCTAGAATAGTCCTAATCTGAACTAGAAGGCTAGGTGACCCCAGGATAGGCCTAGGATGTGAGTGGTAGTACCTTAAGTATTAAACTTCAGCCTGTAGAGTTTTATGAATGTTTTGTGGCTTAATAGATAGAGGGCTGACCTCAGAACTGGTAAGACCTGGGTTCAAATCCTGCCTCTGATACATGTTGATTCTGTGACCATGGACAAATCACCTACACCTTAAGTGCCTTGGGCAACCCACTCAAACTGTTAAGTGGCTGAGAAGCTGCCAACCTGCAGTGATTGTAGAGGGAATTTGCAGTGAAGTAAAACAGGTCCAGGCCCTCCCCCTACCCTATCTGAATGTAAGGCTACAGGATGCTGGCCTTGGAGTTAGGTAGATTTGGCAGTGGTCGAGAGCTCTGAATTTGGATTCAAAAGACCTGAGCTCAAATAACAAACCCTGTCACTTACTTACCTTTTGACCTTGGGCAAGTCATCTGACCTCTCTCTGTTTCCTTTTCTATAAAATGAAAGGGCTGGTCTGTGTCCTTTGTAATCCTGTCCACCTCCAGGGCTCTGATTCTGTGATCTCACTCTGACACTGAATGACCCAGAGCAAATTGCTGAACCTCCAGTCCCTTAAGGCATCGACAAGCCACAGCTTACTTAGGTTTAAGCCAGGCAGTGAGTGCTGTAGTCCAAAGAGTACTCGTTTTTGCATCTGGGGACCTAGGTTCCAATCCCAGCTCTGCCACCTCAGGCACATCACTTTCTTTCTTTCTTTAGGTCTCCGTTTCCTCAAAAAGAAGCAGTTGGATTAGATGACCTCTAAGATCATTTCCAGCTCTAAATTCAGGATCTTAAGAGTAAAAAAAAAAAAAAGACAAAATGAAACAGTCACTGCTCTCAAACGACTTACACTCTACAAGAAGGAGCAAGCCTACCTAGGAAAGCAGGCTTGGCCCGTGATACATGAGAGTCTGTAAGAATGTGTGAGAGGACTTTTGATTTTGTCCTTCTGTGAGAGGGTATCAAAGTCAGAGCTGGCTGGCCCTGGGATATGGGTGGCAGTATCTTCAGGCTTAGAACAGGAGAATGTAGAACCCTTCCAGGATAGAAGGTAGGACTCAGGACTTAGAGGATCCCGTGAAGAATTCAGAGCCAGTACTTCAGCAATAACAACAAATCAGAGTTGAAAAGACAGAAGGAAAGACAGGACTGATACATCCCTCATCCTGGCTCTGTGTGTTTGTGTGTGTGTGTGTGTGTGTATGTGTTTTCCATTCCCACAAGGGAACGGAATGTGTTTTCCATTCCCTAAGCCTCATTGAGGGGCTGAGTGCGAGCATAGCAGCAGTTATTTGAACAATGGAACGGAAGGCAGCAGGGATTGAGGGGGGGTGTGAGACCAGCTGATCTTGTGGATTGCGGGTCACAGAGCGGTGTGTGTCTGTGTTAATTTCAAGGCCCAGTGCGTCCCTTGTGCGGGTGAATTCCCACAGCTCAGATCTCAAGGACGTGGCCTTTCTTCTATATATATATAGTCTTCTCCCCCTCGGCCCCTCCACTTTCTGCCCTTCCTCCCCTACCCTGGGGCTTTATATTATCTCCTCTGGCCAACGATGGTCCCGACATGCCGATTCCACAAGGAAGGGCGAAGGCCAAGGAAGTTTTGTCTCCATCCCCACGGCCAGATTTTCCCAGAAGCCAAAAGGAGTGTATTTTGCTGGTGGGTGGTGGGCGTATGTAGGATTTTTTTTAATTATTCTTTTTTTCCTCCCCAGAAAAGCTCTGCTGTTCTGTGCATCAGTCCCAGGGGAGGGGGACAGCTTGTTTTATCTCCGCATAACCGAGACCCTCACCTCCAGATAAAGGGCTCAGAGTTGGGGGAGGTCGTGGAAAGCTGCTTGCGACTGATAACAGTCTTTTCTGTCAGCCCTGGGCACAGAGTGCCGGGGAGGCGGCAGTAAATTCCTCAGTCTGATTACAATACCACCCCATGTGGCTGTGCGTGACCGCATTTCATTGTGCTAACTACAGATGGAGGCATATTTTCCAGGGTCTCCCAAACCTCCCCCTCCCCCGCCTTGCACACACACACACACACACACACACACACACACACACACACACACACACACACACACACACACACCCCCACCCCTTTAAATCTTCCTCCTTCGTGGTTTCCTCTTTCTGGGGCATGATGAATTTGCTGGCAAAATGTTTGCTGCTTGAGAACTTAAAGATTATTTTTTCCCTTCTATCTTTGCCGAGGTAAATGCCGCTCCTCCCTACTTTGGCCAGGAGCAGGCGGCTTTGAAAACTGTCTTCTGGCTTGCTCAGTCTCCATCGTTCTCCAGTTCCAGGTGTTAGATAATTAGAGCAATGGTGGCGTTCTGGGGCTCAGCAGTAGATAAGACTTAGGAACATGGGTCTAGAGCCAGGGGAGACCTTCGAGGTCATCTGGTCTAAGTTTCTCCTTTGACAGGTAAGGAAAGGAAGCCCTAGGCAAGTGAAGAGATTTGGCCAAGGTCTCACACCTAGTAGGTGGTAAAGCCAGAATTCAAACCCAGGTCCTTTGATACCTCTTCCCACTGTCCCACACTGCCTCTGCATCCTTGTCGCATCTTTCCCTCCGACTCCTCTTTTACATTAATCCCATTCCTTTCCATGGAAGGAGCCAGGCTTGGGAATGAGTGGCCAGGAAGGCTTCCTATTTCTGGCAAGTCAAGCCTTTGCTGCTCCCTTTGGTGAGTTCTGGTGGACATTTTAACAGAAGCAAGTCAGCACATCCCAGAGTTATCGAGCTGTTAGGCACCTTCCACATCATCTGGTCAGACATTCCCAGAGTTGGATGGGGGTTGGGGCATGTTCTCTTCTCCAGCGTCCCTGAAAGGTCTTCTGGCCTCCACTTGCAGACCCCCGGTGTGGGGGAGCCCCCGGCTTCAGTCCCTCAGTAAGTCCTTGTTTCAGCGTTGGAGGGGCCTTCCTTCCACTGACCCCAATCTCCCACCGGCCTTTATTTTCTGGTTGAGGGAAC